TTTTTTTGTTTTTTTTTTTTAAACACGGCTGAGTACAATGTGAATTACACTTTGTAAAAATTACGAAAGCATCTCTTTGAAAATCACCTCACTGTTATGGTATGAGTACAAATTAATGGCATTGTATTTGCGAGTTCGGAGCATTTAGACTGCGATAGAATAGGGCCAATAGGGGTAGGGGGTATAGAGGAGGGGATGCACCCGTGTTGTACATTTTGTTTAGAAAGATTTTTTTAACCTTAAATGTAATATTAATATTATCAAATTAATATTAAATTAATATTAAATTAATGCGCATTTATTATGTTTATATGTATTATATATATATATATATATATATATATATATATATATATATATATATATATATATATATATATATATATATATATATTGATTTTGATTTTTTTTATGCACATAGATAAAGTTGAAAGTTTGTTCTGTGTGGTTGGGGGCGGGTGTGGTGGTGGTAGCTTACAAAGTGATGTTGGCCTACTGACACTTAAAGTTTAAATGCTGTCCTACTTTTTAAAAAAATTGAGGTCAACGGTTTTTTATTATTGACTGAAATGAATAGACCATGGTGTGTCTATAAATAAGATAGCAATTTTTTTTTCAAAAAAGGAAGAACATAATATAGCAAGTCAGACGGCTTATACGGCTGACTGTAGTTATCTTAAAAGCGGTAATTCTAGTAACCGCGAACTGGCGTCACGCTCTGAAATGATATTTAATTTGAATTGTCGCATTTCTCATGTGAATAAAATTGACGAGAATATAGAGGGGAATAAGCTGTGTTGGCAGATAATAACATTTTATTTTCCTGTTTATTATATGTGTATGTGTGTGCGTGTGTATTTTTGTGAATGTATACCTGCGCTTGCGCGCGCTTTTGATGCCCATGTGTCTCTACCCTAACCCTCTTACCAACGCTAGATATGTATTTTTTTTACAAATAAGTCTATGGTGGGTCCAACAGAACAGTAGAGCTTGTGTCCTGTTGACGAGGAGGTTGGGGTCCTATAAAATAGGAGGCTTGCGTCAAATCAAAAAATGGGACCTTGGGTCCTATAAAAGGGGAGGCTTGGGTCCTATAAAAGGGAAGGCTTGGGTCCTATAAAAGGGAAGGCTTTGGTCCTATAAAAGGGGAGGCTTGGGTCCTATCGAAGGGGAGGTTTGGGTCCTATTAAAAGGGAGGCGGGTCATAGAGAAGGCGTGTCCTATAAAAGGGGAGGCTTGGGTCCTATTAAAAAATGGGAGCATTGGGTCCTATAAAAGGCTAAGGCTTGGGTCCTATAAAAAGGAAGGCTTGGGTCCTTTAAAAGGGGAGGCTTGGGCAGTGGCGAGGTCGGGTGTCACCCCCCCCCCCCCCAGAGGCGTAGCGACGCTTCCCGGGGACAAACTTTCAAATTTTCGATTTGCGCCCCCCCCCCTCAAACTTTCGATTTGCAACCTCCCCCTCAAGTTTTTCTTTATATATTTTGCTATATTTTGCCTTAGTGTCACCCCCCCCCCCCCCTAAATGGTGTCACCTGGTGCGGTCCGCACCCCCGCCCCCCCCCCCCCCCCTCGTTACGCCTCTGGGCTTGGGTCCTATAAAAGGGGAGGCTTGGGCCCTCTAGTATGGGAGGTTTGGTTCCTAAAAAAGGGAGACTTGGGTCATAGAGAAGGCGTGGGTCCTATAGAATGTGAGGCTTAGGTCCTGTAGGTAAGGGTCCTATAAATGGGGAGTCTTATTGGAGCTGATCAAACAACATCCTTAAAGTCGGTTATCTATCTATATATATATATCTATATATATAATTCTCTTCTGGGAGCCGCTAGAAAACAAGCTGCAAACGCGCCTAGAAAACAAGCTGTAAACGCGCTCCCTACCTCCCCACCCCTACATGGTTTTAGTGAGCTGTGTTCACTCTAAATGTTTACAAGCAGAGCCAACGATTTTAAACGTAGGGGGGAGGGGGGGGGGGGGGAAGGAAGGGGGGGGGGTTATGGTCCTTAACGAGCTACTTATAATGTTTTAAAGAAATATTTTCAGCGGCAGCGTTGGTACTGTTGAATTCACAAATTATGAATTACTGAAAAGTAGAAAAAACAACAACTAAATAGCGGCGTATGTTATGCCGCGGGCCGGCTCGTATCTATATATATATAATTCTCTTCTGGGAGCCGTTAGAAAACAAGCTGCAAACGCTCTCCCTACCTCCCCACCCCTACATGGTTTTAGTGAGCTGTGTTCACTCTAAATGTTTACAGAGCCTGAGTTATTGACGACTATTAGGGGCAGATAATTTAGTTTGAAACTATTTTAAACGTAGGGGGGGGGGTTAACTATGTAGAGTTTACTTTAACGGAGGGGGGGGGGAGGGGGAGGGGGGGGGGGTTATTGTCCTTAGCGGGCTACTTATAGTATTTTAAAGAACTATTTTCAGTGGCAGCGATGGTAGTGTCGAATTCACAAATTATGAATAACTGAAAAGTAGAAAAAACAACAACTAAATAGCGGCGTATGATAAACCGTCAGAATATCAAGCGGGCGATGTCATGCGTGGTTAAAACGGTTGCATAATACACGCTTAGTCCTACAGGTTAAGGGTTAAAGGTTACAAGTTAACGGGTCTTTACACTGCGGCAGTGCCGTAGCCAGGAATTGGACTTGGGAGGGGTTCAAATATTTTTTCCAAAATCATATATATATATATATATATATATATATATATATATATATATATATATATATATATATATATATATATATATATATATATATATATATATAGGGGTGTGAGTATAACCCCCTTAACACCCCCTTGCATACGCCATTGCACTGCGGTAATATTAGAATGTAACATTGCATTAAAACTGGTGATAATAACTGTCTTATTTAAGTAGGCTGACTTCTTCAATGGAATGTTAATTGAAAATCAGCGAAATACTAAAAAGGAATAGTTTTAACAATATGTTTTATTAAACTTAGTAGGTAAGTGATAGTTGAGAGGTTGTGGTCGGAAGTTTGTGTATAAAAATGGGGTGGAAGTTTGTTTGTGATTGATATAGTGAGAGTGGTTTGTGTGGCGTAGTGCAGTTTATTTAATTATGGTCTAAGTTTGTCTGTCTGTGTGAAATTCTACGTAAACAAGCTAAGAAGACAGATCAAATGGTTTTCAATGGTAACATTAAAAGAAATATTTTTTTCATATTTTCCCTTCGTGTTTTTTTTTATGTTTATCCTAGCAACTGATCTCGACATCTGGGAATCTCACTAAACATACATTTTAAACCAGATTTGTGTCTGTCATGCAACAATCTTTGCAGCTAATTAAACTATGATTTGAACAGGACGTCAAAATAATTGTTTAGCGTTGCAAGGGAGGCTACTTTAAAATTACTAAAAGCAAATGAGAAATATACCTGATTATCTCCCTTATGATTAGACTAGGTCGCCAAAATCATTTTTCAACCTTGCAAGGGAGGCTACTAAAATATTACTAAAAGCCAATGAGAAATATATCTGATTATCTCCCTTAATATTTTGCCAACTGAATGTTCGTATTTCATCGAATGCTGATCAGTTTGATTCACGTATCTCTTCTCCTTCCCCCTGAAGAAACCCTGAAGCTGATTCTGCAGGGGGAATGCAGGAAAGAAACATTGGTCTCATCAGTAAATGATCAAACCATTCAATTTTAGATGACAATCTCAAGTATTGGGGTGATTGATAATGTGATAGTTCTAAAATTGTTAATTATATATAAGTCAACTCAATGTCTTTTTCATCATCAAGATTGACCTTTGATCTTTTATACTGGAACATTGGTGGTAGGCCTATGTAAGCAGGGATTAGGGTTGGCCTTTTTTTGTGTTGCCCTAATAAATTTTAGAACCACTCCAAGTTTGATAAAAATTGAAACAACCCACGTAGTGTTGATACATCTCTGGAGATACTTGTTATTTTTGTGTGCATTTATGGTTCAAAATGTTTACATTTATGTTTTTTCATCAATTCAATGTAATATTATTTAAAATTTAAAGTTCCACTTTAGACCTGATTATCCATTTAAGTGGTTCATGTTTCTTGATCTTGACATACTAAGTGATACTGTGGTCAGCACTATGCCCATACACTTTCACTTCCCCAAAAGTATCCATCAGCATTGGGTGTACTCAAGGACAACCTACAGACACAAGTTCAAACCCTCAAGACCTCAGGTTCGCAGCCAAAAGATCTACCATACTACCCTCATGTAGTAAAATTATAAGCATTCTATTAGATTGGTTTGAAGTTTAGGTAAAGGCTAGTTTGACTATTGTTTCTTACTTAATTAATTTGAAACTGTCATCTAAATTTGGTGCTTACCTCTTGAGAAAAAAAAATGTAAATTAAAAGTGGTTTGTATGTAATAATTTTGCACACTTCTTAAAATAGAATAATAATTATAATTGAGTACTGCCTACAATGGTTTAAATTAACTTATTTCACTCACCTCTAAAACTTTAATAATTTAAAAAATGCTTTTTACTCGAACTGGTTTTCATTTACGTAAGATTTGGTTTAAATTTTTGTAAACCTTTTAAAACAAAACAATGAAAATGTGTAGGGCCTACTCAAAAAGGTTTGAATAAACTTTTTCATTTTTGTAACCTTAAAATACAATATAATTATTTAAAATAGCTAACCTCCATAAGGTCTACTACTCAATATGGAGTTAATGAAATTTAAAGGCATGCAGTAATGCTATCCTCACAGATCTCTAGATTGTTTCATAATGCAGTGCCCTGAATACATTTTGCCTGAAGTTCACTGTGCCTGACTGGTAAAAAATTAACTCCTATATTTTACTTGCCCATTTGGCCTCCAGGTACAGTATTTTATTTACCTGCCAGTGAATTAACTGTTTTTATATAGAATCTATGCCCAAATGGCCTCGAACTGCAGTATTTTATGAACTCCATTGAATGAACAACTAAAGAAAACAAAGCAGGCATACAAATCAAAGAACTACTGTGAATAGTATGATCTTTATTCGAATAAGTGGCATTAAAAAATGGAGAAAAAAAAACTTCTGACAGTTGTTAAAAAAAAACACTACAGTACATGAACGATGTATCACAGTTTCCTCCAGCAAAATCGAAACAAAGTTTTTTCTGCCCCATTCGGGTTTTAGTGCAAAAATTAGATTTGGGAGATTCAAAGTACACGGGGTAGAAAAACAGAGATTTGGAATGTTGGGAGGAAAGCTATCAGCTACACATAAAGCTATAAATGCCTTTTTTTTTCGTCAAATGACTAAAAACAAATAAAAACGGTGAAGATTCTTTGCCAGCAGGCCAGCAAGTTTTCAAATGCATTATTCTGGTCCATTCCACATTGGGGATAGTGATTTACAATGTAAATACAATACCCGGCCGTAAAGGGAAACCAATGTGATATACCCCTCATAGAGTTCCGCAGCTTTAAAAATATTTACATTTTAGACCAGAATCAACCACACAAATACACTGTGCGGTAATGTGTGGGACATTTTTTTTAGTTTAAAAAAAGGGGAAATGTAGAGGGGGGCAGGGGTTGAATCCCAAAAAAATAAGATCCTGATTATAGTTCGATGAAACTACAAGACAAAACAAATGATAGAACAGAATTTTCATTTTCAAAAATTCTGTTTCTCACAACGACTAATTGCAATATAATACAGTTTGAACAGTTAAAAAATAGTTTTTACATCATACACAAAATGGTGAAGTTTTTTTTCATGGGACAGATTCACCCCTCAAACCTACACCTGGGCAGGTACAGAGATTCTGCTTGGCCAACCTTAACTTTGGACACTGTCCAAGCCTACTGAATTCTAGGTAAGAAAAATTGGTCCAAGAAAAAACAACATGCACGCTCCAGTTATTAAAATTGGTTTCCAAATTCAATTTAGGACTTCAGGTCAACTGGAAATAAACTCTTTGGTTTGTTTTTTCTGACCTTTGGCCACACAACTATATTTTTATCTGGCCACACAAAACATCCTATTTAAGAAACTTGGATCAGCCATAAGTTACATCACCAAATCACGAGGATAATAATTTTAAAAACAATCTACACCAACAAAAGCAACATTCATGTCTATCTAGTGTGATGTTTGACACTCCTAGTAGTGATTTCATACTGCTAATAGAAAAGCAAATCTGTCCACTTTAAATAGGACAACATGGGCCACAACTCTACAAATAAACTGGAAAATATCACTAACTTTTAAGTATTTTAATCATGTAAAAATAAAATGTCATTTTCAAAATATCAAGCAATACTTGTACACAACTGAAGTCTTTCATCAAACATTCACTAACCACACTTAACTTTGTTATACAAAAATACATTCAAACACATCAAATTTGCTAGTGGTCAGTTTGCACATACTTCAAACATATTTTTATGCACTAAAAATGACCTATGACCTACATTGCAGGTGCAAACTAATTGTTTTCGTGACTCATCTTCACTTAATTTAATAGTAAGTTTCTCTTTCCACAAAACCTCCTGGATGTCTTCTAAGTATAAATTTGCGGACCTCGTCGTAGATGAAAATAGCCAAACTGTAGGGGAGGGCAACCAACCACCATGTGAATCTGAAAATATGTACAAAAAAAATCAAAAATAAGTTACGTGTATTAAAATATAAAGACAAAAACTAAATAATGCCATTAAAAATTGGAAATGACAAAAAATAACAAACTATACAAAATCAAATTACTAAATTTAAGGATAAACAACTTTTATATAAATGAATAGATTTTTAGCTTAAAATAAATTTTTCTTCCTCGGTTAACAAACTGTGTAAGTGTATTTCTAATCTATAACAAGGGGATTATAGTGCACCTAAGCTCTTAATGTTCTCAAAATGTTTAAGGCTCCTACAGGTTTAGACAGAATCAGACAAAATGGCTGGGAATAGACTAATCACAGTATGTCATATGCCATTAGCACGACAAGATTTAAAAGAAAATTTTGTTTTGTTTTTCTTTAATTAACAGATAATAAAAAAAGTTAACTCTTACCTGAGAGGTTGCATACGTAGACCTTTGTCCAGTCCAGGGCAATAGCACAAGAAAGCAGCCAGAGCAGTTTCAAAGAACAGACCAAAAGTAAGACGGTGATTTCTGGAAAAATTTAAATTGTCACATTATTATGAAATATTTATCAAAATGTATTATGAGCAAAGTAGAATTTAAAAGTGACACTCAAAAAAAAAAAGTTAAAGTAGGATAAAACAAATATTCAAAATAAAATACAATATTATCAAAGTTTTCTAAAGGTTCACTCACTTCATTCCCTGTTGGAAAAGTGAAAGACGTCTGGTCTTGCAGATGATTAAATCAGCCCACTGGACAATTACAATGGACACAAAGAAAGCTGTGTGGCAGGTGTACTCAAGCTTCTTGCGTTGAGAGTAAGTCTGGATAGAAATTTGGGTAAATTAAGACAAGATTGATCTACTTTAAAATATTATAAAAACATTAGAAAATCATATTTAATCTTAAGACATTTAATCCCAATGTAGAGACCAATTTTTGTGGTAGGCCACTTATTTAGGTACTAACCCATTCTTGTCCGTAGGAATCTTCTAAATCGTTGATACCAAGGGAATCCCACTCCTTACGAATGCCCAGAAGACGGCTCATCCAAAATCCATTTTCACCCATGATAACAAAATAGGTGAAGAAGCCAGCAGTGGCTTGGATCATACCAATCTGACCATAGGCCATACTAATCAGTCTGTGGACAGAGAGAATATTTTATTACATTTTATAATTTGTGTAAACATGGCAAAGTAAGCAAAAAAGTAAGTATGGCCACAACACTAACAAGCAGATTTAAAAACAAGTTAATTAAAAAAGTCTAGTGACATTTATGCGCAATTTCCTTATGTTATCTAAAAATAGCTCTGACGTATAATGATTGGGTGCGTTCAAGCTTGAAGAGCGATCGGTTTGTAGGTGTTTATGTAATTTTAAAATTTGTGACCGAACGAGAGGATATTTTTGAAAACTTTCTTCGGCAATACTGTTCTAAATTATGGCAGGAATCGATTGGTACATGTTTCAAGTCGCTAAGTGGTCTGGTTGCCGAGATATGGGCCAAAAACTGCATTTTTTCGAGGTTATTTGGCTTTTACGGGAAATACATGAAAGAAACCCGGAATTTTTATGGCCTATGCTCATTCTCGTAACTTGCTTAACATAATTGCTTTTGGAACTAGTCATCGATATTGCTTCGTTGAGGAGGAGATACGACTTAAAGCCCGGACACACATTCATCCATCCATCCATCCATTCCCAGAAATGACGAGTTAATAAACGCAATTCTCCAGAATGGAAATTGCGCTAAAAAAAAACTAAGTACAGTTTACTTTTTTAAATTTAAAAACAAATTGTAAGAAGCTTACCTGTCATTGACAAGTTTATCTTTAAGTGGGTTACGAGGTAATCTCTTCATGATGTCGAGTTCAGCCTGTTCATAAGCCAAAGAGATAGCAGGGACCATGTCAGTTCCAAGATCAATACACAAGATGGTGATGGTACCCAGAGGAAGAGGAATATCAGCAAGGATGAACAGCAAGAATGGTGAGATCTCAGGAATATTGGAGGTCAGTGTGTAGGCAATTGACTTTTTCAAGTTGTCGAAGATCAATCTACCCTCCTCAACACCAGTCACAATGGAGGCAAAGTTGTCGTCAAGTAAAATCATGTCTGCAGCTTGTTTGCTCACATCACTACCAGCAATACCCATAGCAACACCTGAAATTTTATTGATTAAAGATTTTATGATTGTCTATTTAACTGTATTTTAAGTTCAATCATTTGAACCATCTTTGAAGTTAAAAATCATATAAAAATGAGCACAAAAAATATATTTACCAATATCAGCTTTTTTGAGAGCAGGTGAGTCATTGACACCATCACCAGTAACAGCCACAATTTGACCCTGTCTCTGGCAGCCCTCTACAATGATAAGTTTCTGCTGTGGTGAGGTACGTGCAAATACAATTTCACTATGGTTGATTAAAATCTCATCAATCTGAGCTGGAGTCATGTCCCTTAGATCACCACCATGGATGACTGCTGCCTTAGCCTCTCTGTAAAGATAAACAACCATAATAATTACAATCATTCAGCTTCTTCATGTCAATGTACAAATGTTCTCTAAATGCTAACTAAAAACTTCATAAGAACTGGATTCTTAGGATGGTTATCATACTAGATTAACTGAAGAAAAGATTGGTTATTCATAATCCTGACCACAATATAGATTAACTGTATTTCACCTGAATATACATTTTCAATAAAAGGGTACTTCATGATCAAGTGCAGATAAAGAATGAGAATATATATTTAAAACAAACTGCAAGGTCAGAAAAAAAAACACTACTTCCCAAATCTGAATTCCACAGTGCCACAGATTCAAAGATAAGAAGAAAATAGTTGACTTACCTAGGATCAACTTCCTCGACTGGAATGCCTCTCTCAGCAGCAATGTCTTCAACAGTTTTGCTTCCTTCAGAGATGATGCCAACACCTTTGGCAATGGCCTTGGCTGTGATGGGGTGGTCACCAGTAACCATGATAACCTAGAAATTAATACATTTTTAAAAAAAAATAGAAAAAAAGCACAAAGAGCAAGTTGGTAAGATTTTAAAAGCAACATAATTATTCCCACTTGTTTGTTGTACCTAACAAACCCCTCCTTCATAACAATTGTTAAGTATCACACAGAAGAGCTCTGGTTTAGATTCTCACCTTAATGCCAGCACTCCTGCATTTCCCTACAGCATCAGGTACAGCAGCTCTGGGAGGGTCAATCATGGACATGAGACCAACAAATCGAAGTCCAGTAATGGGGAAGTTTGGACCTTCAGGGTCAAACACGTAGTTGGGTGGGTACTCAGCAGCAGGTAGAAGGTAATCACAGAATCCTGAAAAAAAAATTTTTACTTAGATAATTCACTTAAAACAATAGTTATGATGAAAATGATCTCTTTTAAATTTATAATTATTTTTAAAATGGAAAATGTTTATTTTTCATTGACAAGTTACCCAATTATCGTAATTTCTGGTAATCTTTTTCTAATATAAGTTCATAAAACTAGTACTTCTTACCCAAGACTCTCTCTCCAAGACCTCCAAGCTCCAAATATGCAGAGTTGAAAGCTTCCCTAAAGTTATCGTCCAAAGGCTGGTCTTTTCCGTGCATAAGTATGGAAGAGCAACGGTCCATGATTCTCTCTGGAGCACCTTTCATGACCAGCAAATACCTGGGGTCATTGGGGTCTTCTGTCTCATGGATAGATACCTGGAATATATTGGAATACATACCTTGATTAACATTAAGTAAAACACTGCAAAAGAAAGTTTATTTTTAATTCTTGCAAATAAAAATATATTACAATATTGAAGCTGATTCACATACATAAATACAGATTAAATTTACAAAAGTTTGCATGCAATGCTCACTACATTTTAATAATATATTATAGTTACACAATCTATATTTGCACCTGATATTTGTTAGTGGAATTAAATGGAATTTCGACAATCTTTTTGTTGCGACGTCTGAATTCTGTCACATTTCCAATAGACAGCTCAACACATTTAAGTAGGGCAGACTCTGAGGCATCACCGTTACATTCCCTGTAACAAACAAAATCCAAAATGAATTTTAAAAATATTTTAAAATTTAATATTTTAGTTGTTCAAAAAAAAAATGTTCCACAAAATACACCCAGAAGCGCTTTCCTGATTGATTGCAAGTTAAACATGATATCCCTAAATTTACCTTTTAAGAACTGGAACATTTTCCTGTCCAACCTTGAACTCAGCACGGTTACACAGCATACTAATACGGGCAAGGCTCATCCAGGTGGGATCAGTGCGTGAGTAGGAAGCATCTAGAAAGAAAAGGATTTTGAACAATTACACCTGATAAAACCTGCGGGGAAAGGGGGGGGGGGGGGTGGAACTGGAAAGGTGAAAAAAATTAGCAATCATCAAACAAAATGGATCAAATTATTTTGAACTCACTGGACTGGTCATCGCTGGTGTCTGCCTCAATGATTCTTCCATCAAACCACATGTGAGCAACCGTCATACGGTTCTGGGTCAAGGTTCCGGTCTTGTCGGAGCAGATGGTTGAGGTGGATCCCAGAGTTTCTACGGCTTCCAAGTTCTTGACAAGACAATTTTTCTTGGCCATACGCTTGGCTGTCAGGGTTAAGCATACCTAAAAAAAGACAGAAATCTTGTAGCTTAAATAAGTTTCAAATTATTTTTTTGTATTATCGATAAATTAAAAAATATTGAATTAAGAGTGAGTAGTCAAGTAACTTACAGTGACAGTAGCCAGCAGACCTTCAGGGACATTAGCCACAATGATACCAATCAAGAAGATCACAGCGTCCAACCAGAAATAGCCCAGGATGAAGGCGATGATGAAGAAGGTCACACCAAGGAACACAGCCACACCAGTGATGATATGGATGAAGTGAGCAATCTCTTTAGCAATTGGAGTTTCTCCCACTTCAAGACCAGAAGCCAAATTGGCAATACGACCCATGACGGAATTATCACCAATCTTGACAACAATACCACGAGCAGTTCCTGGAAATATGAATAATAGCAATAAATAAGTTTTAATAATATAATAGTGGATGTGACTGTCCTTGGAATGTTCATCATTTAGGGACTTTAATATCTATGATAAACCTGGATTTAAACGAAGCTATCGTTTCATTCCTGACTACAAAAACTAGTACAAATCACAATAAATTCAAAATAAAAATTACCTTCTACAGCATTGGTAGAAAAGAACGCCAGATTTCTTGTCTCAAGAGGGTTCTCGTGTGTGAATTCTGCAGTTCTAGACTGTGGCTCAGATTCTCCAGTCAAAGATGAGTTATCGACCTATAAGACACATTTAAATATTTTAAAAAGAGTTTGACTGCATGAATCTAAAAAAAACTATTATTAGATATATAAAAAACTAAGATAAATGATAAAAACGAATTCTGTAAGTTAACAGTAAAAACAGTTTAAGATTTAATAAAGTGTTATTTACCTTGAAGCCATGGGCGGAGATGATCCTAATATCAGCAGGGACTCTGTCACCAAACTTGACCTCTACAATATCTCCTAGAACAAGCTCCTCAGCACGAATGCTAAGCTTTTGACCACCACGTACAACAATAGCATACTGAAATGTATAACAATAGCATACTGAAATGTATAATAGCATACTGAAATTTGATGACATAAAATAAGCTATCATATTTACAGAAGAATATACCAAAACAGCATATAAAAATAAAATTAATCACTTAACCAACCTGAGGAACCATGTTCTTGAACGAGTCCATGATACGTGAGCTTTTTGCCTCTTGGTAGTATGAGAAACAACCAGTTACAACGACGACAGCAGTTAAGACAATGCCAAGGTATAACTGCAAGATAAGAAACATTAAAATTCATTCTCAAAATATTTATAAAATAAATGAACGATCATCTAAGTATATTGAAACATTGAACGTTTTATGATTAGATTTTTTTTAATGCTTACATTATCGCCTGGAGGATCCTCTGTTTGACTTGCTTGGATGGAATAGGCAATGTAACACAAAATGGCACCAATCCACAGTAGGAGAGAGAACCCAGTGAACAATACTTTACAAAACTTCACCCATTCAGGCGTCGTTTTCGGCGGAGTTAACATATTCGGCCCATCTCGTGCTAAGATTTCTTTGGCTCTTTCTGGCGTATGACCCTAGATTTTGAAAAGAATATTTATAAAATAATGAAATTTTTTTACACTATTACTATTAAAAAGAATATGAAATAAAAAGAATTTTAACACTATTAATTTTAGAAAGAATATAAAATAATGAATTTTTTAAAACTATTATATTTACTTTTTTTAAAACATGAACAATTTTATTCATAATAATTATAATTTTTTTTACAAAAGTCATATTCTAGTGAATTTAAAATTAAATTGACTAGGTTTTTAAATATTTCTTGCTGGCAAAATATTTAAAATATATCGGAATACCGAATGTCTCCAGTTTTAAATGTTTCAGATTAAGACACCAAAGATGACTTACATTGTTTGGATCGGCTCCGTTTCTCTCGTACAACTCTTCAATTGGAATTTTGTGCTCATCCATATCCAACTCCTGCTTGAGCTCATCCAGCTTCTCCTCTCCCTTCTTCTTCTTCTTTTTCTTTTCATCTCCAGAGGGAGTGACTGCATAGCGGTAGCTTTCAGCCCTTGGGCCCCCCTGGAAGTATCAACAAAAACATGTATCTACATGTCATAGAACTCTGATGAATTTTATATCAAACAATAAAACAAAGTCAAAATTTAGGCACCAATCACTATTTCCAAGTGTAATAAAATTACTGCAGTAGAACTAGGTATATTATAATTAACACTTAACTACAATTTAATGCTCAGAACTGTGTTATATCACAATGACTGAATCTAATGGTTATTAAGTGAAGTGACATTCTAACCAAAAACTAGCTCAGCAAGCTTTTTAATTAAGAACTCTAAAGAAAGTAGACATTTTAGTTTGTGTGTATAGTATGATGTAACCAATGCTGAAGTAACTTAAATTTCCAACTACTTATTGTTCATACAAATAACTTAAATTTAAAGAAGTTTTAGCTAACAATTTTTTTCTTCGACCAATATTTATAAAAGCAATACTATTAGTACTGAATTGTTTGTTAGCTTTGAAGTAAAATATAAATATTAATGAGCACCTCGCTCAAAAAATCTAAACTTATATCCAAAAGTATTTAACAGTTGTAGTCAAGAGCTTAGCATAAGGGCTTAACTTAAGAGTTCCCTAAATTAGAAAAAAGAATGTTCAGTTTTATGTTTCTGTACAGTTCCAGTTTTTATTTCATTGATAATGATTTAAGTGATCACTAAATAGGTCCTTCTAACCAACATTTTAAATTATTTTTGTGATCCCCATTTCTAACCAAGTAAAAAACAAAATTTATGGTAGAACAAAAAAAAATTATGGTATTTTCTCTGCAGTTATTGGTGTAAAGAACAGATCAAGGATTTAAGTTCAGTTCAGGATTAGAGCTGAAAGTTAATCCAACCTCACAACAACAAAAAAACTTGTGTATTTCTATTTGCTTTCAAAATTATTCACATTTCTGGTCCATGCAATTAAACCTGGATAATTTATTAATGATGAACAAGCAAAAAGCTAATGTTGAATAAATAAACTGATGTACCTTTATTATTTTACATGTACATCTAAAACAGAAAAATAAATTACATAATTTTAATACAACCCCACCCAGTGGCGGAACTAGAAAAAAAAGGCTCCCCCGCAAAGAAAAAATTAGGGCCCCCTATATATATATATATATATATATATATATATATATATATATATATATATATATATATATATATATATCCTAACTGAGTAATTTATTGCAATATATAACCATTCTGAGATAACAAACCAGAAAAAATTTAGTCCAAACTTATATGTTATCGAGAAAGTTTCAATAACATGCTGGTCAAAAATATATAAAGACGTTAGCTTGATTCGTGAATGGTTTCTCGCGTTATGTTTATTGTTTTCATTTTCGGCTTTTATAATATCAATTTCGAAAACATTGATTTTTATATCTATACTATTGCATAGTATGTCTTATTTAAATAATAATTCAGAGAATCAATTGCTTGTTAATATACATAGTACAAAACTATTTAAATGAGCTTTGTGGGCATCTCTATTTTAAAGAAGGGCAGTAAGTCATGGAAGTAGTGTGAATGTTTATCTACCTTTCAAACTATAGCTCTTGTAGATTTTAAAATATCTTTCTACGCAACAATCTCTGCTATAGTAGACCTGTTTTTTTTTTTTTTTTTTACAAAACCACTTTCATAATTTTTGAAAAAAAATTCATTGTTTTTTGGTCGGAACTGGGCCCCTAAACGTCCTGGGCCCCCCCGCATTGCGGGGTCTGGCGGTATGGTAGTTCCGCCCCTGACCCCACCATGTAGACAGACTAGATAGCAAATGTTACACTGAAATTAAAAAAAGTCTTGGAAATAGTTGCCAAATAAGTTGATTGGTAAAATTTAAAATCAAATCAATTATGTCCTCAATCTGATGTTTATTAAGGACAAACAACTTTGTACAGCTGTAAAGCTTTTTTTTTAACATGGTTCATTAAATTTAGTATGACTTAAATTACAATTATTATTTTATTATCAAGAGTAATCTAGGCTATAGTATTTCAAAAGAAGTGAACCATTTAATTTTGAAACTTGAGTGACATGTTCCTCTTCCATAGCCCTAATTATTTTCCCACTGACAAAGGAAGTGTAAATTCCCTTCAATAAGATTCAATATTTTATTGATCTACTAGACCAAGCTCTAGATCTAGATCTATGTCATAGATTTGGTTTCAATGGAGCAGAACTAAAACCATATTTGTAGTAAAAACCCTTTAGTCTTTAGTCTAACTTAACTAGTTATTTTACTTTGGATTGTTGAACTGAACTATTTCTCTATTCAAATTGGCCCTATATTCACTTTATTTATGCATACAAGGGTTATTTTTTTTTTTTTGAAAACTAATTCATTTAGGGCCTAAATTGCTAAATTGTGTTTAAATGATGGGTTTGCAGTCTGCTTAGGATTATAAACTTTAAGAATTCATTCAATCTCCATTAGATTTCTAGATTCCAGCTATTATAGTTATATATTAGTTAGATCTAGATCTAGTACAGTCTAGAAATAGATTCCTTGATCATCTAGACTAGATCTCTAGATCAGATCTTCTTTAATAGATCTAGACTCCAGGCCTCAATTAAAATTTACTAGAGAGCTAATGCCTAATGTAGGGCCTATTTCTTTCTTAAACCCAATGTTGTGAATGTAGATCTAGATCTAGATCTAATCTAGATCTAGATTCTAGGTGAATGTAGATCAAGTGGTTTTTTTTTTGTTAGTTTTTTTTTTTTATTGTGTGCTTTTTGTTGAATTCATTCATTAAAACAGTTGTAGGTCTATATGTCGAGGGTTATGATGAAAATAGGATGTGACATAATAATAATAGAACAACCTTTACAATGTCCTCTAAACTGGCAAGGCTCATGAATATTCATGAGGTAGCCGGATGAAATGACCTAATTTGTATTTTGTTCATTTTTTTTACTTATTTTGTAAGGTCTACCAGATTTGGGTAAAAAATAAAGCAGAGACGGATCGTGATTCGGAAAATGAATCACGAACATATTTTAGGGTACTTTAGGAAATATGTTTAATGTAAGTAAGAGTTCCTGCCGACTGACTCAATGCGGAAATGAGGAGCCCAAATTCGACTAACGACCGCATATCCCAACTCCACTGGCTAGAGGTCACGGATGATTTTCTCGCATTAAAATATTTATTCACAATTGTAAATACGACTTTTAACACACTCGTGGCAAAATGGTTGTATCTACAGTAATATCAACTTACGAATACAGCACTCGGATGGTTAAAAACCTCGCCTAATCCTCCTTACCTGTTTGTTAACTTTATTCGCCGCCATGATGAATGTGTCTTGCTAGGTGGCGCTCTGTTAAAGTGACGTCACAATATGAGGACAAATTAAAAAACCGTTAATAAATGAAAAAATTTTTACTGACAAAGCCCTCTGCCTGGTAAACAAACCACGGTGTCTTAAACTAAGAACACTCGGGTAAATAAATTTAAAAAAAAAATTCACAGTTTTTTTTTCCACATATATCCTTAACACATCGATAATGTGAAAGTAGTCCCTACATTCGAAAGTAAAAAGAATCAACACGTGACCACACAGTGATCTCTTGTGGGTCCTCTGACAATGGTCCGCCCCGTCTACCGCTGGCGGATAAAGTGGCAAAACAAGAGGTCGCCTCGAGGGTTTTATACTCCGACCTTCATCTCCTAGGTCCCTCGGCCCATTAACCTGATGTCATACTGCCAGGCGTATTATCTTATGCCCGGACACTCATTAGATGTAATAAGTTTAATTAAGAATTGCTTAAAACCTTTGATATACCTCTACGGGTAACCCCCTCCCCCTTACTTAAAGCTGTTTTATATACAGGTGTGATATTCTTCCTTCGTATCAGCGAAGCGTGCTCGAGTTGAACCGGCTAGCGTAAAGAAGAATTGGTGAACTGACTTTCACGTTCTTGAGTGTCTAATACGGTTCAATGCATACACACCGTATATGTATATTTCATGTTATAGCTCAAGTTGTGGCCCATTGCAACAATACTGTATGAGTTATCTCCCCTTTTCGATTGTGATTTGTAAATTCGACTTTTTAAAAACTTCCACTCTATTGTAAGCTTATCTTGTTTAACGTATGTATGCTATTTCTTTTGTTTATTTTTATTGCATAGTAAAGAATGGAATAATTGATGAGTAATATAAACTATTGATCGATTTATAAATATATTTTTAACGTGTTTAAAACCATACACAATGTAACTGTTTAGATGAAGGGGTTTGTTAAATTTGTATTTAGCGTAGGTCTATATATGATGTATTCAACATCTATGGTATTCCCTTTGTTTGTTTTTTTGTTGTTTTTTTTCTGTTTTTTTGTTGGTTTTTTTTTTTGTTTGTTTTTTTGTCAATTTGCTTATAACATTGTGAATTTCAATAAAAGATTTAGAGAGTAGAATACAAAGACTATTATAATAAACATAATCCCTAATTATTTAATAATCATTCAATATGAGGTGTGTTGTGTTTTTTTTTAAATAGTAGGCATATACTAAGCATTTTTTTAAGTGTTTAGAATTCGATGCTTGTTTTTTTAAAACCAAAGTGGCAAGCCTGTAACCCCACTAGCTAGGGCAGCTAGGCCTATGTTACTTCTTAAAATTACTTCAGGACAAAAGCGTAGTCAGCTACACCGGCAAGAACATTGTGGCCATGTGGCTATCTGACCCACATCGTCGGTCTACCTTTGCTACTCAGGTAGGCTACACGGCTATCATATTCCACTTTCCGTCCTGTGCGTTTTCTGACATCCTTTATTATCCGTACCCTCCACGGAACACCCTACCCCAACCACTTCTTTCTATTATCCACATCTGAAATCAATTTAACCAGCAACAAAGAAATTAGGATTTCGTTTTTTTTCCAAAAGAGAACTCACATGTTCTTCACATCAGCAGCGCCGCCTACAGAGAAGATTGTAAGTAAAGCTACGGATATAATTTTTTAAAGAATCGAGTACATCTAGGCCTAAATCATGAGTCTGTTTCTGGCATTGGTACACAGTGACACAAGTGAAAGTGAGCGGTTGTGAGTCCATGACCTTGACCCTTTCGTCTATTTATAGATAGTAGAATTCCCCCCCCCCCCCCCTCACAAGAAAATTTCATTGGTCACTGGCGATCCAGCATTTTTTTTTTTTGTGTAAACAAACCCTCAGCAGTTTACACGTGGTAATGTTTATAATTAAGTATTGCTGGCATATTTTTAATAGTCACGAAAACATATAAAAAAATAAAGTGTAGTCATTAGGACTATACATTTCTGAGTAGTTTCTTATGGGTGTGTGCGAGGAGGGGGGGGGTGATTTTCGTAATTTATTTTTACTCTATTTACATATTATATACAAGGAACTAACTCTGTGCACAATCTTCTATCTACATTGAAGAAGTTAAAGTGCTGTCCGCGCCTATACACTTGCACGCCACTGATACAGCTTAGTTCCTCTTTGTGTCGTGTTTACACTTTACAAACGTTCGTGCACTTATTGAATCCGGCGCACTTAAGTAAACAATAACTGGATCTTCGTGTTCAGGCGATAATGACGTTGGGGACACTTAAGGGTTTTTTCGACAAAGCCTCTATTATCTAATACAAAATGACCGTTGTTGACAGAAACGGGTCTAAAAATTAATTTTAAAACAAACGAATTGGTCAATAACCACACACTAAATTTTGCTTTAATTTTTAAAAGTAGTTACTCATCCACACAAAATAATTTCGTGTTTTGTAAGTTGTTTTTAATTTAAATTTTTTTTCTTCCAATCCCTGTTTCTTCCCCTCATCCGTATCCTCGTAAACAGAAGCTACTCAAAAACTGATGACGCATTTAGTTCTACTTATAATTATTTGTGTACAACACAACAACAAGCAAACTATTTAACAAACCCCTTGCCCTAGGTATTTCCGTTTCCTTTCAAGCGCGTCTCATTTTTTCCACACCCGCCCCAAATGTTGGTTAAAACCATGAGCTTTGTAGAAAATAATTGAACCGTAACATAGTTTTCGGGATTAAAAAAAAAAGCTCAAGGCTACGGCAGAGAGGCATCACGTGGTTAACAACCTGTGGATTTTTTTTTTTATGCGATCTATTGGGGTTGATACTTTTCTTTGTTCCATCGTCTAGTTTCTTTTAAATTTGAGATATCATGGATTCAAGTTCTAGATCTACTTATAGTTCTTATTGAAGCGCTGGTGCATGTTCAATTTTCACAGAGTACATAAAAGTTTAACATGTTAAAACCGTTAGGTGTATAATTTTCCTTTGTTTTTCATGGAAAAATGAAGAGGGGTGTTTGGGGCTTAACTCTGGTTCAGTGTTTTTTTCCACTTTTTTTATCCGGAGGGGGGGGGGGGCGCTTGATATTTCCTGGGGAGGGGGGGGGGCGGACTAAATTTTCCGGGGGGGGGGGGGGGGGCGGGCACTGTTAAAAGTCTTTGTTGTTCTATATAAATTCCATTTCGTTCGAAGGTGGGGGGGGGGGGGGGCAGTAGAGAAGAGATACCTGTAAGAAACACTGCTCTGGCTTAACAAGAGTGTCTAGAGTAGTACTGCTGGTGCATAGATATTGTTGTGGAGCTTTTACAATGGTATGGTTTATAATGCATTACCTAGTTATTCCTATTCATCTTGCCGTGAATGTGCAGACTAAGTATAGAGGTCGATTTTGAATAATGGGTTGGGGAAGGGGTCGGGGTATAAATTTGTTAACAGGTGCAGGCGATGTTCTCGTGTTTAAAAAAAAAAAAGGTGTGGGGGTACTTATTTTAAAGGTCATGTTTTTGTCTGCTACCTGGAGTTGAAAAAATGGCTACACTATGTTGAGGAATAGTAGTAATGAGTATATCACATAGATAATGACCACGTTAAATATTTGGATTAGATTGGGTCTATAGAGTAGACGTGGATTAACTGTCAAGTAGTATAATCACAGGAAGTGGGGCACAACTAAACTAATGGATAACTGTGGTCATTGGGATACAATGTAATATCTGTTACCGTTCGTGCTCAAGACACACGGGGCAAATGAAGTAGAGTTCATCTGTTTCAGGGACCTCGACATATGAGGGGATAGTGTGGTCAGCACTATGCCCAGCTGCCTGAGCTCTCCCTAACGTGAGTTAGGTACCCATCACAGCTCTCTAGGCCACGCCGTACCCTCAACGTAATATCGTCCAGATTAATAAAAAATCCAATTGAATCCGTGGCGCACTGTTTATGAACTCGTGGGCAGATGAAGTAAAGTGCATATGTTTCTTGACCCCGGGTTAGGGATGTGGTCAGCACTATGTCCAGCCGAAGTTACTTTCACATAACGTGAGTTAGGTACCCATCAAGCTGGGTGGACTCAGGGACGTTCCATTGACTTGAACAAGGATTTGAACTCAACATTTTCGAGTTAGCAGTCTAGCGCTCTACCTATACGCCACGCCTTCTCATATGTCTTTATTGTAAAGATTTTTTTTTTCATTGGTAGCTTTCCCTAGACCATCTAGCTGGTCCTCGCTGGGAAGTTCAACCGCACGCCACTAAAATAATCATCAATAAAACAAAACAAGCTATAAAGTTTATCATAATCAAATATTGAAACACATGTTGCATAAAATATCGTCAAGGAGTTTGATAATCTAAGAAGTAGAAGAAGTTCTTTTTTTATAATTACAAGAGTTGAATATGTTAAGACAGTGTTAAGTGGAACTTATTTAATTGATATTTGAATAAGTAACATTTTTCTGTTTTATTGGGTTGATTTTTTTCAGAGGGTGGTCAAATAATTTGAAGAGCCGATAATACTCAATTGGGTTGATCCGGCCCTGTTATAAACATTGTTTGGCTTGAACTATCAACAAATCAAATAGCTTTCAAGATCGAACAGTCTTTGGTCTAGAGTCTAGGTGAAGTAGAGTTTATGTCCCTCTTCATACTTTACATAGTTTCTTTCTGACATTTTTTTCAGGGCCTGCACTTGAAACATTCCGGGGGTACAAGCTAAAGTGTACATCTCCTATAGAAATTATACAAAGCCTATTCTGTATTTTGCCTAGGACAGATACCTGGAAAAAAAACCAACTGATACCTGATTTAATCTAAAGTGGATCCGAACCTGCGCTGCCTAAATGGAGAAAACAATGCTCAAAGTTTATCTGAAAGGTCCAAAATATTAAATTAATACATGATGTTTTGACTTGACTTTATCGGAGAAAGAAAACAAAATAATTTACTCCATTCCAATTTTAATCTAGATCTATAGGTGTACTGAAGATTTCAAAGATAATTTATCAGTTTATAAAAAAAATATTTGTTGCTTCTGTCGAAGGAGTTATGTAAAAAAATATCTACTAAATGTAAGCCATTTTAATGTCATAGTATTGAATCACACGATTTATTTTCCACAGATAAATTAAACAAACATACAGTGCATATTTGTATGGTCTTATTTAAAATGTTTAGATATAGATGGATATAGATGGATTAGCTGTACTACAATGGTCGGCCCACTCGCAATTCATATCAAAGTAAGATGACTTTTAGTTTTACTATAGCCTCTTTACCGTAAAGCAGAATTTCTAAATCTCTTATAAAGGTACGGCTAAAGGAAGAGTATATTTTAAAGTGTGTATA